TAGCTCTGAACGAGTTCCACTGCTGCTCCCATTAGGTGATGGTAGTAACTCACCCGGAGAAGGGTAGAACTGGGGAGATCAGGGACACCTGGGTGGTTCAGTGGTTGAACGTCTGCCTTCAGTTCAGGTCATGATCCCAGGGGTCCTGGGACCAAGTCCCTCATTGGGCTCCCTATGGGGAGCCTGCTTCTCCCTCTGCCTGTGTCTCTGCCTCTGTGTCTCTTATGAATAAATAAAATCTTAAGAAAAAAATAATTGGGAGATTAAGTTAGGTCTATGCTCCTTAACAAGAATAATAAAATACTAATAGCATATGTTTGTGTCATCTTTCCTGTTGTCTCAGATACTGTTGGAAAGACTTTATGTATGTTAATGAATTTAATTCTTGCAGTAACCTTAGGACATAGGTGCCTCTTTTAAATTTCCATTTTCTAGGGGTGCCTGGGTGGCTCTGTAGGTTAAGCATCTAGCTTTTGATTTTGGCTCAGGTCTTTATTTCGGAGGCCTGGAATTGAGCTCCACATTGGCCTCTGCTCAGTGCAGTCTGCTTGTCCCTCTTCCTCTACTCTCTCCCTAAAATAAATAAATAAAATCTAAAAAAATTCAGTTTTCTAGGTGAGGAACCTGAGACACAGGGTTTTAGTTCAGGCCTTCTAGTTTACCTCTCCCACATTGTCTCCTTGCCTTCTTTGCTTATCCTTCTGTTTCTGCTGGCTTTGCTTAAGAGTAGGTCTCTGGTATGTCCTGCACACCTCCCATGCTCAATACCCTTTCCTCACTAGTCTGCTTACCGTGGCAAGGCAACATGCTGATGCTTTCACAAGCACTGTACTGTCACAGCCCTGCTTGAGGGTTGATGTGAAGGCGAGTTTTGCCAGGAGGAGCCTGGGGGGTGACCTTACTCAGTAGGTGGCCGAACCAGGATAGTACTCAGAAGTCCGTCCACACTTGTCCGTCCCCACTGTTGCAGGCTGCGTGCGGCCCATCCCCAGGAATCCTTTCCCTTCTGTGTCCTTTTTTTGACCTATTGCTCCAACCCTGTATCTCAGCCATTCATTTGTCATTCATGATAGGAAGTTGATCATTGTTACTTTCCAGTGTGTATGTGGCCTGGGAGCTCATCCAGGGAACAACCGTGTCTTTGGGGCCTGGTGTCTGGCTCTCATAAGCATCTTGCTAATGTTTCTCGTTGCTGACTTGTGGTAGTGACCAACCCCTCTGCTATCTCAGCATGTCTGGCCATGTGAGGTGGGCTGCATCCTGGGCCAATCCAGGTATCCCTTTTTGATTCAGAAAATAACACTTGCTGTAGTGAATTCAGATTTAGTCAGATAAATGCACATGTGCTTTTTCTGGGAATAGGTAGATGAGTTATGAGATTGGATGTGACATAAATCATTTATAATTGCATTCACTCTTTTTATTAGTTTTATGGTAGCTCCTTCCTAAAATGAGGCCTTCTGTGTAATTGAATTTTTGTTTAAAATAAACTTTTGTTTATTTCTTTGGGTGTTAAATCTGAGTCCATGTTGGATTTGCTCATAGTGGAGTTTCTGGAATTAATGGTTAAAGTTGGTTACCATATTTATATGGGTAACTAGAACCATAGCTTTGTGTTTGACAGGATTCTTTGAGCCATTTCAAAATCTGTTTTAAGTTTTAGACATCTCAATGACTTCGTAAAATGTTTTTTATGCACCCAAAGCCCTCAGTTTAAGTCTCCTGTTAATTTAAAAAGAAGTTTGAGGGTAGCCCGGGTGGCTCAGTGGTTTAGTGCCACCTTTGGCCCAGGGCGTGATCCTGGAGACCCGGGATGGAGTCCCACGTTGGGCTCCCTGCATGGAGCCTGCTTCTCCCTCTGCCTCTGTCTCTGCCTCTCTCATGAATAAATAAATAAAATCTTAAAAAAAAAAGTTTGAGTGTGGTGGTACTGTTGTGACTGGATTTTTACAGACCCTCATTTTTGCCAGGAAAGGAAGGATTGGTTCCCCGAGGGGCTGGATTGGGAAGTTGGGATGGGCAGATAGGAAGTCCTACGACCAGACCTTCTGAAGCCCTTGTTCCCAGCCTCATGCAGGTATTGTGAGGATTAAAGAGAGAACCAGATTTTTGATTCCAGAAAGAGCAGGACTACATTGACTTCCAGGCCCCTGAGTTGGAGCCAAGGGGGGCTCAGCATATACCTTCCATTCAGTTCAGCCTGTGTGTGGTGCCCAAAGTTTCTCTGAAGTAGATGCCACATCAGCTCAGCCAGACAAATGGATGTTGTGTCAGGGGGAAAATATCCAGTAATTTACGGGATGAAACTCTGAAAGGTAGGAAGAAATAACAGATTTCTGAACTTTTTAGAAGGAAAAAGTCATGATTTAAGTATGGATTCATGGCTAGATTTTTTTTTTAGGCCTTTATTTATTTACTCATGAGAGACACAGAGAGAGAGATAGAGGGAGAAGCAGACTCCCTGTGAGGAGCCTGATGTGGGACCTGATCCCAGGACCCTGGGATCAGGCCCTGAGCCAAAGGTAGACGCTCAACCACTGAGCCACCCAGGTTTCCCTCATGCCTAGATTTTTTTTAATGAACTTTTTACTTTGGAGTGATTTTAGGTTTATGGAGAAGGTGCAGAGGTGGCAACCTTCACTCAGTTTCCCCAGATGCTAGCCTCTCAGGCTTCCACGATGTTTTGTCCAAATCATGGAAGCAGCATTGGTCTGTGACTGACGCAGGCTCGGCACCATCTCTCCCCCACCGCCCCCCTCTGCCGCTGGCCCCAAGGCATCCATCTCAGGCCTGGCCTGGCAAGGGCCCCCCTTCATGCAGAACAGTTCTTCTGAGCCTGCTCTGAGCTGTGAGTTTTTTCTCAGTGAGCCTCATTTAGGGTCTGTCTGACTTTTATTTATTTTTTTTAAATTTTTATTTCTTTATGATAGTCACAGAGAGAGAGAGAGAGAGAGAGAGAGAGGCAGAGACACAGGCAGAGGGAGAAGCAGGCTCCATGCACTGGGAGCCCAACGTGGGATTCGATCCCGGGTCTCCAGGATCGCGCCCTGGGCCAAAGGCAGGCGCTAAACCACTGCGCCACCCAGGGATCCCTCTGTCTGACTTTTAAAGCGAGGTTCCGGGCTTTCAGGCAGAAGACCATAGAGGTGATTTCCCTGCTCACATCACAGTGGGAGAATGTGACATCTTGTCAACAGGATACTGGCCTGTGGCTCCTCCGTGGCCACAGAGGCTTCCATTCTTTTTCCAAAAGGGTTGAGAGAGTGTGATGGTCTTTCCTCTGTCTTTTCTCTTTGGAAGGAAATGCAAGTGTTGCAGATAGGGTGGTGTTTTCAGGTGGAAGGAAGGCTGATATGTGTAGACTTCTTAGCTGCATCAGCTGTCACTGCACCTGCTCTTTCCCTCAGGAACCTGGATGTCACTTGTGAGGTTTCTATATATCCTGTCACTACCTTCTTTTTTTTTTTTTTTTTTTTTTGCGAAGATTTTATTTATTTATTTGAGAAAGAGAGCATGAGCAAGAGCAGAAGGGGAGGGAGAAGCAGATTGCTGCTGACCAGGGACCCTGAGGTGAGGCTCCATCCTAGGACCCTGGGATCATGACCTGAGCCGAAGGCAGATGCTTAACTGATTGAGCCACCCAGGCACCCCTAAATCCTCTAACTTCTTAACCAATATAACATGCATATAAATCCTGAGGGACATACCCCCGTGTTTTCTGTACCTGCCTGTCAGCACCACATGTTGCTGGAAGGAACAGTGGAGTGTTCTGCAGGTTGAAGTTGTGGCTGATTCATGTGTACAGGCTGAGTTCTGACACCCAAGAATAGTATGTGCCTGCACTCAAATTAGTAAAGGATGCAGCAAGAAGACTTGTTATTTTTGATATGCCGGAGCTTTTGGGGGCACTGTGTGCAGATGGGGCACTGTCTCTCTGATGTACATGTCACTGACCTTGTCCTTGGAGCCACACTGAGCAGCTTGGGCGTCATGCTAGTCAGGGCTAGATTTAAGAAAAAAGCCAAAGGCAATGGTTTTCTCAAACTGTAGTCTAAACATGATTTTGGTTATTTTGGTTTGATTCTATGAAATTATATCATGTTTCCTATTTACCTTTTTCATTTGGATGGAAGGAATGAATGAAACAGAACAGTGATATTTTGCTTCAGGTAATTGCCACAACCATGACAGACACAGGATGTTAGCATTTACTTTATAATATGCTCTGCTCTCAAAATGGCCTGTTCTCCTTGAAAATAATTTAAAGGTAAATGCAGTAGATATTAAAGCCTGTGTACGGGTTACTTTTCCATGAAGTCAGTGCTCAAAAATTTCATTTATCAGGCCTTGCTGAGCTGTGTATAGCTTTCCATTTTAGACTTTGGCATAACTGCTAAGGTTGTGGCTCTGCTGTGTGTGTGTTACTTTGTTGTCTCTTGGGAAATGATTAGATTGTGTGGGCATCATTAAGACCTGTTCACCCAGGTGGTATGGTTTGCCTCGCTGTCCAAGAGCTGAGAGTTTGGCACTCTTTATAAAAGATTTTTATTTATGTATTCATTCATGAGAGACCAGAGAGAGACAGACACAGGCAGAGGGAGAAGCAGGCTCCGTGCGGGGAGCCCGATGTGGGACCCGATCCCGGGTCGCTCAGGGTCACACCCTGGGCCGAAGGCGGCGCTAAACCGCTGCGCCCCCCGGCTGCCCCGGCACTCTTTAGAGATAGGCCTCATGCGGTTCCCCTCTCCTACCTCTGTGCAGCTGCACATCTCGCTGGGTGGCTGCTGCCATGAGGCCTCAGGTTCACGGGAGAATGTTTCTAAGAGTTTGTGCTGCCAGGGTTAGGCCGAGGGCGCCGCGCGCAGGGAGCAGCTCTCGCCCGGCCCCACCGCCAGGCAGGTGTCCCCGCGTGGAACTTGCAGGGGACTGCCGCCTGACAAATGTGTCGGTAACCCTCTCTCCCCTTCTCTTTCTCCCCCCCCATCCCTCTCTTCGGCCAGGCGGGCGCCTCAGTGCTGTCCGGCGCAGGAGAGAGCGCTAACCCCGAGACCGGCGGCGGCGAGCTCAAGTACTCAGGTCAAGATGGGTTGTACATAGGCGTCAGCCTGGCCTCCCCGGCCGAAGTCCCAGCCTCGGTGAGACAGGATTCCTGGTGCGCCCTCGCCCTGGCCTGAGCCCGCGCCGCCGGAGCGGGAGGGCACCTGGCCTGCGGGGGTTGTCCAGCCGTCCCAGCCAGGGCGAGTATGCTGACAGTGCTGACGGAACATTCCTCTGATGCGTGACTTCCGTGCCTTTATTTTGAAAGAGATGTATTTCCCAAGAGGCTTGCTCTGCCTTCCCTCCCTGCCCCTGTCTGAAGAGCCAGAGAGAAGACGGAGAGCTTCCAGAACGCAGGTGCGGCCCACCGCATGTCGCCACCTCCCTGGCCACGGCACGGCCACTGCCAGCCAGCCTGCCTCTGGGTCTGCCGGGGACCTGATGTCCGCTGTGCCACTTCCAGAAACCGGGACTAGGACCGGGGCCTTGCCTGCTAAGGAATATTGAGAGAGATTTTTTTAAAAAAAGGTTTTATGTGTATTGCCCAAAATCATGTGCTTCTTCTGATCGGTTTTGGTTGTTCCAGAATTTCTTCGTACTTTTTCCACACCTGAATTTCACATGCTTTCATGGAGAAGACCATCTGAGGCCGTTTGGTACACACTTCTGGAGGCTGAGTCAAAAATATTACTCAGTTTGCAAGACTGCGTTATAACTGTAACGTACACTGTGACTGACGTTTCTCAAAGTTCATATTGTGTGACTGACCTGAAGTCAGTCGGGATTTGTAAACAGGGTAGCAAACAAGATATTTTTCTTCCATGTAAACAATAATTTTTTTAAAAAGTGCAATTTGCGTTGCAGCAATCAGTGTTAAATCATTTGCATAAGATTTAACAACATTTTTTATAATGAATGTAAACATTTTAACTTAATGGTACTTAAATAATTTAAAAGAAAAAATGTTAACTTAGACATTCTTACGCTTCTTTGACAACTGCATCCCATTTCTATATTTCCAATTGTAAAAGAAAAATACTTCAAGAACAAATCTTCTCTCAGGAAAATTGCCTATATCCATTTGTTAAGAATTTTTATACAAGAACACGAATATCCCCTCTTTATTTTACTGTGGAATATGTGCTGGAAAAATTGCAACAAAACTTTACTACCTAACAAATAACATTTGTAAATATTCTAGGCATCTGTACACACTACGATGAAGTCTATAGTGTGACTAACCCACAGGCAGGTTGGTTTACATTAATTTTTTAAAGATGGGATGTCATGGAAACCTATTTCACCAAAGTTTTGAAAATAAAAAGGGTATTGTTTTGTCTTCTGTACAGTGAGTTCCTTCCCTTTTAGTTTCATTTTGATACTGTATGTGGCTAGAGATATTCATATAAAACAAGTGCATGTGATGTTTGCAAATTGCCTTTCGGCTTTCCTTTCAACAAATTGTCCTTTGGGTGTTGCTTCATACCTTGGTTTATTTGAAATTGGCATATGGAGTTGTCACCTTCAATTTACATTGGGGGCAATTTTTATAAGTGAAAAGGACCCACTATTCTATGATAACATGGGAGACTGTTTCACAGCACAATGGTGGCATTTCATTTTGGGCTCCTTAAGTGTGAGGCATTTTTTACTTCTTTTCGTGATTATAGTCATACTATGGGGGCCAGCCTGAGTCTTCCGAGAGAGGAAGTCTTGCCTTGTGGTGGGTTGTATTGCAAGTGAGACTCTAAGCTGGGGAGAATGTGCATCCGGGGAAGCTGCTGAAGCCTGCGTACACCCTGATACCAAACAGACTAGAACAGTGGTCTGGGTGTGGCATCAGACCACACGGCTTCAGGTAGTCTGCTCTGCATGCATGAGCTCTGACCTTGGACAAGTCACCCCATTCTCATTTTCCTCATCTGTAAAATTAAGTCCAATTAACATATAACTCTTAGGATATGCGAGATAATCCATATGAAGTGCGGAGAGCAGTGTCTGGCACATAGTAAGCATGAAGTGCTGACTTTGAAGTGTAGGGTAGCAGGAGCTCTTACCACGTGGGTGTTTTGAATGTCTTATTCCCTGTGGCGTATTTAGAAGTTTATCGTCTGTGAGGGTCTGGTGTCCCTCGATTCACTTGCACTTTTTGAGCAAGGCTAGGATGAGTGAAATGAGGGATTCTCTAGCCCAGGGAACAGCAGAGTTGGAGGGAGGGAGCATGCTTGAGACACACCGGTCTGAGTTCCGCTGACTGTTTAATAGAACAGGGTTGGTCTGACAGCAAAAGAAAATTATTATCCCGACTACTTTTTCCCCTTTCTCTTCTTAACAGTTCTCATTACTTTGAGTGCTTTCTGGTGGGTGGGTTGGAAATTGTTAGAGTTAAAATGCTTTGGTTAGAAAATAAGTTTTTCTTATTGGGGCTTCCAAATAATCTTTTTTCTGGGGATGGTCTCAGATGTTACTCCTTCAAACCCAAGATACCATTAGGTTGCTAAAGCTCTCCTCCTTCTCCTCCTCCTTCTCCTTCTTTTTAGAACATAAAGAGAAAGAAATCAAGCTTTCATAAAATAAATTACAAGGAGTAAGAACAAGGGGAACAGGGCTTCTGGTAGCCTGTCTTAACACAATGACCTCTCCTAAACTAGGCCTTTTCAATGGTAACTTTCTCACCTGTGATTATACATAAAGAAGTTTGATAATTTGTTCCAAATATATGATCTCAGCACTGCTCCTCCAAAGTGTGACATATAAAAAACCAAGTCATTTCTCAAAAGGGAGTGTATTTAAATAGATGGTGCACCTCACCTTACAGAGTCCTTAGACCCATTACCATGGGTTGCAGAATTTCTGTCCTCTGTTGCCTATGGCTGACTTTAGGCTGCCTTACATAACTAAGGTTCCTGTCTGGGGTCTCTCTCTGGGGCCACTTTATGTTTCCTGGTGCCTATGGGAGGGCCAGGAAAGCAAAGGGAGCCATTCATTTCCCCCTGCAAATAAATTAACTTCTTGCTCATGGGAAATGTTTTCCCCAGTCCTTGGAAATTTGATGTAATTTCAGATCATAGATAAATTAGCTGCTGGGCGGGCAATACAGCAAGTCTTTGGTGGCTAAGCCAGATTCCAGGCTGCTTTTAATTTTGGGTAGTGCGGTAGCTTTGGCGCATTCAATTCTATGTACTGGCATTTTTCATGGGGTCTTCAGATCTTACGACTCTGAGAAGGAAATAATAGCGTGTGTGTAGTAGGCGAGGCAAGGTAGGGGAGCAGGGATCAAACATTCATTCAGGGTAAGGCAGCTCTTGCTAATTAAAATGTGTTTTGTTTCTGGGTTGAAATACTATGTCAGCTTGGCAACACTCCTGACTGATCCCCTGTTGTTTGGAAGCTCTAATGGGGAGTCAGATATGAATTTGATTAATTTAAATAAGAAACATCAATACATTTGCTAGACCAAATCTTTCAAAACAGGGTCTGTGGGAAAATTTATCTACAGCTCTGCTGGCTACTTGAGGCTTTGAGATGGATTCTGTGTGGCTGAACCTGTAACTGCAACCAAAGCAGACCCTTCTGATGTGGACCCTGGTGGTGGGTGGGGGCTGGGGCACCCGGACAAGGTGGTAGCCATCTGTAGCACCTGCAGAGGAAAAGAATCCTACGGTGTCGTTGACGGGTTCAAATGTGAGATATTAGGAGATTGGAAAGCCTAAGTAAGTTTACAGGGGCTTTGGATAAAATAAATTATGGCTGGCTGATACACATAGTTTGTAAAGGAAAGTTAGGATGTGGCAGGTACACGTCTGAGTTAGACGTTAGAGCAAGCGACCGTGCTCCCAGTGAGCACGCTGGCCTCTCTGTAATCTGCATCTCTATAATCTTGCTTGGAAAGCTTTTTTGGGGTTGTTTGCTTTTAAGGAATGGACATTTAAAAAATGGCTAAAGTATAGCAATTAGAGATGAAATAATACTTTAATTAGTAGAAGGGCTTATATTTCAATCATCAGTGGTTCCCTGTGGTAAGATCATCATCTGGGTATCCCTTCACTTTGGGGCAAGTCATTTCCTCTCTCGGGACCTCAGTCTCTACACAGCCATAAAATGCAGAAATCAGGCAGCGAGCCTGGTTGCTCAGAGGTCCCTTCCATCTGCATTTGCTGCCCACAGGTCCACATGTAGATTATATGCAGAGGCGATGGCGCGTCTGTGAGAAGCTGGAGCTGGGCTCTCCTAGCTCTCTACTGGTTCCTTCACCACCTCAGGTTTTGATCTATGGAGGGCATGTCCTCCTGTCGCCTTAGGCCACAGAGGGTGAGAATCCTGATCACATCCATGAACATAGGGGCTTTGTAAGGGATGCTGCTCCACTCCCTAATGCCAAACCTGCTTGGTCTGGGGCCCCTGATATAAAACTTATACAGTGATACGGACCCAGACCGGAAAATGGAAACGTCTGGCAGCTGAGCAGTCCACAGAACAAGGAAAAAACAGCTTTGCTTTGCTTGGCCCATTGCTTCAATATCTTGTAGTTGGTTTTTTATTTCTTGGAAACAACCAACTTTTCATTGTTGTTTGCCTTCTGTGTCTTCTCTTTAGCCATTAAGAGTTTTCCTCCTTGTCTCTCCACCCCTTTCCGGGTTTTACCCCTATTTTTGTGAATTCTGTTCCTTTAACACTCCAAGACTGGTATGAAATAATAATAGCAAATATTTACCTAGCACTGACTACGTACCAGTTTCTATACAAAGCGTCGCACATTTATGTAATCCTCATACCAAATGAATGAAGTGGTGCTATCCTCATTTTACAGATGTGTCTACAGAGAAGTTAAGAAACTTGCCCAAGTGGCAAACTTACACAGTGGCACAGCTAGCATTTGAGCCCTGGCAGTCTGGCTCCAAAGCAATGCTCTTAATCTCTCCGTCATACTGTCTTTTCCTCTTGATTTAAAGGGGAAGCGATTGAAGAATGCAGAAAGGGAGCAGAATTGCCTGAGACTTGAGGCTAAGTCCTTCCTCTCTCCCCGAGTATCTCAGAAATAGGTAATTATGATTTGCAACACAGGTATTCCTAGATTGAAGACATCTAGTAAATGTGTACGTTTCTTCCAATGATTTCTTTAGAACAGAGAAGGTAGTGTATAGTTGTTAGCTGGAAAGTAGAGTTTGGAGGGATTGTGCCGTATTTGAACAATTAATTGTCTTCTTTTCGTGGAGCTCCAAGTAAGGCTTGTTATGCCCTTACCTGGCACAAAAGATGAGAGTAAAGCATTTTGCAAAGTGTAAAAAGCTGGCAAAATTATTAACAGTGGTTAAAACTGAACACGAGAGAACAAGGAATGCTTCATTGTAGTGTCAAATCTGTCTCTGGTTGTGCCAAGGAATTTTTTTCAGAAAAACTTGTGCAAGATGTTGGCAGTGATGTCTTAGGCTTTATCTTTTTGAATAAGTGTTCATTAGTGCTTACATCATTGTTGCTATTATTATTTTGATAAGTGTACATTACTAACAATGCTCTCTGTCAGGGGTTCTCAGACTTTTATTTACATGAGAATCATGCATAGTGTTTGTTAAAATTGCAGGGCCCTTGACTCTTTCCCCAGAGAATCTGATCCTGCAGGTCATCTGTAAGGCTGAAGAATGTAGATTTTTTTTACCTTGCATTAATGAAAATTTCTTAAATAGTACAAAATTCAAGTTATAAATTGGAATGCAGTGAAAAACAATTGCCCTTCTTACCCCTATTCCCCAGCCACTCTGTTCTTCTCCCAGATGTAACTTCTTATTTCTTGTATTGATTATATGCATTGACTATTGGTGCACACACAAGCACATACAAGTATATATACTCAAAAAAAATTTTTTTTTTTTTTTACTCACCTGGTAGCATACTATACACATTGCATTTTGCTTTTCTCACTTAGTATGTCTGGGTAGTTCATTATTTAATCAGTGCCTTATTGAAGAACATTTGTTTCCAGTCTTTTGATATTCTAGCAGTGTTGCAATTACTATCCCATATCTATGTCATTTCACTCATATGCAAATATACCTATGAGGTGAATTTCTAGAAATGGCATTACTGAGTCAAGGGATGTCTCTACTTTTAATTTTGAGAGGTATTGCCGAATTAGTCTTACAGAGGTTGGCTCAGTTTGCACTCCCATAGGCAATGACAAGAGTGCATGTTTTCCCTTAGCCAAACAAGTTTGTTATCAAACATTCTGATCTTTGTCATTTTCACATCTCTGAATTTTGTTTTGCATTTATCTTGTTGTGAATGAAGTTGAACTTTTTTTCCTATGATTAAGAGCCATGTGTAGTTCCATTTATGTGAACT